TTGGGCCCAAATCGTTACAAACTAACCCGTAAGCAAAACCAATTTCCCTTTTAAAATTTCTCCAACAATCTATCACCTGTAAAAACAAAAATTTGTTCCCAAAATAAAACATTCATGCATTGCTGATTTCCCAAAGCAAACTCTAGAGCATCAGTATTAAAAGGTAAACAGTGTAACACAACACGGTCAGCACTCAGCAAGGTCAGGTCACAGAGAGGCCATTTACACCACGCTCAGCATTCCTCAGCCTACAAACATGCTGACTTCTCTCACCGCAACTTTGCTCGTGCTATACTCTGAAATATCAACATGAACACCTACTCTAATCATTAACAGTATTAACCATTTGTAAAAATCCCCATCTGAAAAAAATATATTACTATCAAATTAAAGTTTAAGCTCAAATATATTTCTAAAACAGTACACCATAATACACTATGAATAATTATCCCTCAAACTACTTCTACAAAATATAATATATTGATCCACCATTCACTGCATCTACTGCGCATAAAGAGCTGAAACAGAATAGTTTGACAACTTGTGTCCGCCACATTATTCGCACAATATACACTCTAGAGTAGAAATAGCAGGTCTGCAACCACAGAATCACATCTTCGAGAAACCTGGGAACTACAAGATCCCAGATACAACATATATTTAACCAGGCAAATACACACACTTGTGCACAACAAAAACAACAACTGAAACACACATTACACATGTGCATCCAGCACAGGACAAATAACAACCTTGTGCAGCTAGCACTTAGCATACAGCACAAAAATACCTCGTGCACTCAGCACATAACACAAATTCACCTTGTGCTCCCAGCACATAACAAATAAAACCCTGTGCATCCAGCACAACTCATAATACCTCGTGCATCCAGCACGTAACGCAATAACTCTCGTGCTTCCAAACACGATACACAATAAACTCAAAGAACACATATCAAACTCACGTGCAACCCGCACATGACACATAGAACACTCGTGTAACCGAACACGAACACATATCAAACCCACGTGCAACCCGCACATGACGCTTAGAACACTCGTGTAACCAAACACGAACACATATCGAACTCACGTGCAACCCGCACATGACGCATATAAACTCACACTCAATATCACTGGAAAACTTCACATTTACGACATTCCAGCCGTTCACTGCTGTCCCAAAACACACTGAACTCCCAAAAAAACTGATTAAAACTGCACCAAAGTGGTGATTACAAATAATAAAAAAAAATATATTCAAAAACCAAAATTTTTTTCACAAAAAGAACCCCAAAAATTAAAGCCAATTATTTTTTCTAAGAGGTACCAAGATCGAAGTTTTGTAAAAAATTACAAAACTCCTGGCGCTTCCATCACCTTGTAACGGTCGTATTCCTCTTGGAATACGTACTGTTACTTTGGGTGACGTAGCTCAGGAATGAAACTCAGCACTCGCTTACAAAACCCAACTTTATTAATTACTCAAAACAACACAAAGAACACAAAGCTAAACCAACAATCAAAAAGGTAGAGTAGACTGACACTGTATAAATAAGTTAGTAACTTAAACCCCAATTTGGAAAAGACTCAAACCCCAATTTTGAAAACCCTTTACATTGTCTTACCTGGACCCAAGGCCAAGGGCCTTGGGCTCCAGCTCCCCAGCAGGACCCTGTCCTCCGGTGCACCACACAAACCACTCTACACAAAACTGACCCCTTGATCAAGTGCACTGGCCTACTTAAAGCAACAGCCTTCAGTAGGTCAGCACAACAAGTTATTGTTTAACAACACTACCAGCCTACTCACACAACATTGCCAAACACTTCCTCTTTACAATATTCGACCCCTTCCATTACAGTACGATTGAGGCATTAGTTCAAAATTCCTCCGTGAAAAGCGCTGTAGTAGAGAGCATTTTGGCAATGAAGGTTTACTAATCGCAAAAATAGTTCTGTTCATAAAATAAAATTATAAATGCCTCAAATTCAATTTTATAATTTTTGTATTATAAAGTTTCTATCATAACCTAACCGAACTAACCAAACTTGCTGATAATGAAATAATATAACAAAAGTTTATTAATAGAAAAACAATTCTGTTCATTTTAAATAAAACTAGAAATTGCTCAATTAAAATTTTATAATGACTTAATAATAAAATTAAACTGTTATAACCGAACCAAACCAACCAAACTTGCTAATAATGAAAAAATGTTAGTCAAAAAGTTAGTGCCACCAGAGAGATTTGAACCCGGGACTCTCAGCATATCAATCCGGCACGCTAACCACACTTAGACCACCGAGGACGATGGCTGCAAACCGTATTGTTACGGTAATGGTGTTCCCTCAGCTAATGAGAAGCCCACAGCTGTCATCGTAAGCTCATCTATACCTCCCCTGAGTAATGTTTGTAGCATACATTTCAAATTGCAACTAAAATTATATTAAGAGCAATTAAATTATCCAGCTGATCATAATAATGTAAACAAATATGTTCTTCATAAGGATAACATAAGAACTTTAAAAGCCACTGGGGCAGAGCCTGAGGAACTTTCTCAAAAATGTAAGGTCAGTTTGCAAATCTACACACCTAGACGAACATTTTGGTATATAATATGAGAGATTATATAAATCTTACAACAACACAAAGTTTCATGTAGTGTATTAATAATATAGATTCTTTAAAAGTGAAATTATCTAAAAAGCCTCTGGTTATTGTTTGGATTTTAACCCTCGTCTAACAGTAACACACAGCAGCAGTAAAAAAACATTTTTTGTAAACTTTCAAAAGGAGATTCTAAGAACTTTGTTAAGATATTAAAAAAAGTTAAACCCAAAATTTAATCCTCTGCAAGATTACTTCAAAATACTTTTGATTATGCCATAAAAATAGCCATTAAGAATTACAGAGGGTTACCGATTAACCCTTATTTACATTACTCAAGCGGCAGGAGTAGGACAAGCCTGTGGGATGTAACTTAACCTAGTAGTATAAGTGAAGTGACATTTTCTTAGTACAAGTACTGTAGTTATCTTTAAAACTACTCCAAGTCACACAATGTTCATGACATTAAACAACTCTACAGCACCCTTAATATTTTATTTGGCAAGTGTGATGGGAGTCTAGCTGTTAAATTATGATTAATTTACATATCAACAAGTTAAGGCTTTTGACATTGTCTGTACAATATTCATTAATCATGGAACTGAAAAACTGTTTAGTTTACTCCATATTGAAAGAAACGAAGGAACTTTTTGCAGTGTAAAATAATGATTAGCAATTATTTTAATAAAACTAATTGGATTTTAAAAGTTTGAAAGAGATTTTAAACTCGTGTTCAAGTTTAGTTGGTTGTTCACCTTCCTTTTGAGCAAATATTGAAGTGTCCTCAAGTCAAGTCCAAGTTTATTTTTCACAGTTTCCTATCCTCCTACCCTACCACATACTCCCTTTTTACTTAATATCTCATTAACATTGTTCTATTTTCCTCAGTTTTAGTATATCTATATACTAAGAACAGAATACCCTACTATAGGATTATTGTTTATTTTGGTGTTAGGCATCAACAGGAATATTTAAAACACAAACTTTCAGATTTATAATATTAGTAAGATTACTCATTACTTATTTCCATAATTTTTTTAAACTGAAGATAGTTATGAATTTAGTACAGTACCACCTTCCCAAATAAACACTTTTAGAACTCAAATAGCAACATTTTTTTACAAGAATAAATAAATAGATAAAAAGCTCTTTATTTACTGTATTACTAGTCTACTACTATTACTGTATTAGTTATTTACAGTATTAGTGAATGTATTAATACTCTACCCTATTACAATAGAACAATAGAATGAATATAGACCGGCAACAGTGCTGCGGTTAGCATATGTTCCGGCGCTCACCCTAGGAGTGTCATGTAGTTCACACCGCTGCAGCCTGCTGGTTGCATACAATGCTGGAACTGGAAGGATGGCACCTGCGCTCCTTCCCTGCAGCGGTGTGCGCTGTAACTACACGGCACTCCTAGCGGTGGGCGCCGGAAGCTTCCTTTGACAGTCTATATTTATTCTATTTTCTATGCTATTACGTAGCAGACAAAACAAATCCAACCAACCTTAGTTAAAAAAATCGTGACCTTAACTATCACAGCTAAATAGTTTATAATCCCCCCTAGCAATATTGGTATGCTGCACAATCTATGGCTGCACGCATGCTGTAAATAGTAAAGATTATCATATGCATTGACATTACGATATAAAGCACAGACAATACGGTGGATAGTCATTAGGCAATGGCATTCTTCACTGTGGTGGCTACAGTTAGCAGCCGTGAGCATTGATTATATTAATATGCAATATATATTCACAAGCCAATTTCACTGGTAAGTTCGGGTTACAGGAGACCTCGAGCACAACTCTACCGAGGGAATTATTTTAATGGAAACTTGAATTTATACTTATATAAATTTAAACATACAGTAAATAGTTTCTGACTCTGTCTATCCAGCAAGATCTGGTCATGACGTCGAGGGAGGTAATTCAGGTCAAATTCAGTTAATTCATTTACCAAAATTGGTCTATATTTCTTCTTTATACTTCTTTGGAATGAACTGGACGTCTACCATTGACTATTGGATACTGAAGTAGACATTCCATCTATAAAGACCAACTGTTGCCATGTTTTTTTATTGAAACGACATATAGTTGTGCGAGCCAGTCACATAATGCATTTAGTGTTTAAAACTTTATTTTGTACCTTATATTTTGTTGCTGACATAGTTGATGGGTCATGACAGTTGCTATATCTTACAGTAAGTCATTCCATCAGTTTGGCTTGCTAAAAAAGTGTGTTTATTCACAATATTGGCATTCAACAGAGATCAGCTATTTATATCAGCGCAGTCTGTCGGTGGCTCACATTAACTACAACGAGTTTGATTTTAAAACTGGCGACAACTTTAACATGGAGATGGAACGTCTAGGTTCTACTTACCGAAGCTCTGACTGATCCAAATGCCCAGCATATCAAGCTGAAGTAGCCTGTAGTAACAGGACTCTCCCAGATGAAGATTCATGAACAGGTGGTAGGTAAAGCTGCCGACCCACGGGGCGACACTGCCGGCAATATGACACCACGAGAGGAACACACTAGACTCCCAAGGCATGTGCTTGGGCACAACAGTCAGTATGTAGACAATTGGCAGCCCTGAGCAACAATATATATTAAAGTTTCAACGCCAATGGCATTTTTGTGTGACATTAAAGCAGTGGAAAAGTGGTACAGACTCAGTTCTGTCTGTCGGTAATGCATGAGTGCAATTATTTGGCAGCGATCCATAGGAAAATATGATTAGGCCTACTAAAAAAACTATTGATACTCAACCGGAATAGTATGTTAAAAGTTATACTATTATTGTGATGTGGTATTTAGCTACGGTGCCTTTTAACCAAATACCCCCACCGCATCAAACCTGCAGATTACCCAAATTTCAATTTGCCTGATTTTATTCTCTCGTAAAATCTATTAAAATACCATAGGTTTAACGAGTATACCTAAGTTTGCTGTTGTTTGCTGATACAGGGAGGGTAATAAAGTTAGTTTTTAGTAAAATATTTATAGCTTTAGTATGAAATAAAGAAATTTGCCAAGCTTGAGCAACATAGCATATAAAACAAGCAAACTACAAAAGTTTATTTTATTCTCAATAAGAAGCGATTTGAAGGACATACAGTACTACTAACTTGCAGGTTAATTTATGTTTAATGACCATTTTTTGGGTCAAGTCTTTCACCTCTAGGACACGAAACCACTTTAAAATGTGTTAACGAATTTTACATTTTACACCAGGATATGAAAATAAGAACTAACAAAATACAATAGATCAATTGTCTGTCAACTAAATTAGCTCAAGCCCTCTGTTTTTGTGGTATATGAGCACGAGGTTAGCTGAATCGTATCAACGGAAAAATCCCAGAGGTAGTGAATACAGTTTTTTTTGCCAAACACGGATTAAATATAAAACCACTCTCTCTGGATAATTATCTTTTGATCTTCAATTTGAAATCTGAATTGAGTGGAATTGAAGTAAATCTCAATAAAATTGTTAATGTTATAGGTGTAGGTATTTATATGTCCCCTAGTAGTAAGGCAGAGAATGTTTAAGATTTTTTGTAATTATTGTTTGTAGGTGCATGCAGACTGCTCTCTTAATTGGGAATCATGCCAAAGACATTAGGATTAAGTGTTGTCTTGCACTAGGACTACATCTCGCGCAAGATTATTTAAGAAAAACTTCCCAGTATCTCTTTAACCCATTTTAAAGAGCTTAAAAAACAAATAGTTTAGTATATTGAAGTGTTTTTACGGCTATTGGCCATGCAGAAGATAAAAATATTTAAATTCAAAATTTCCATGTTATATTTTATATAAAATAAAATAAACTGTTGTAGTTTGCTTGTTTATGCAAACAAATTTTATCAAACTTGGCAAATTTATTTATTTTATACTAAGCTAACATTATGTTACTAAAAACACACTTTATAGCCATCCCAAATTATGTTATTGTTAACCCTAATGTTTTTTTTTCGGTTTCTCAATGTTGTTTGTTATCCTTTGTGTTCAGCAGCTTGCTTGATAGAGCAAGAAGGATGTAATTTATTTTCATAAATTATATTTTTAATAGATTCAATTGAATATCCAATCAGATCAATGTAAATTTGATTAGTGTGCAGGTTTGCTGCGGCAGGTTTTAAAAATACATTCCATTTAATACGTTATCTCAATGTGAGATACTTTACTACCCACCACCACATTCTATGCCTACAACGTATTTTTAAAATCATAAAAGACCTAGGTAAAATAACGGGATTTACTAACTATGTCAAGGGATTATTCAATAAACATTGATGGATGGAAATTGGGGTAATTGGATGACATTGGGTCATGTGGTCTTCACCTACCGTGAGACAGAATGTTGACCGTCTCATTGTGGAAGTAGAACAGACTGGCGATGCTGCCCCAGACGCTCAAGATGGGACGGTAGCCTGTGTGAATGTAGGGGTTGAACTGAAGATGTTTCGGCATATCCTGCCATTGTAGCAGGCACGGCATCATCCACCGCGGTAGAAGCCATACTGACGACAACGGCCGCCCCGGCGCCGACGCAACCCGCAACCCCTCTAGCATCGACCGCGACAGCATAAGGCATTGGCGACTCAACCCAATTTGTTGATACATTGTAATTTCCCGCACGTGCATCCTAGAATCGTACGTTGGTCAAGAACAATTGTCGCTTCAACTGGAATATTCGCAGATCGTTTGTGTTCTTATACCATTGACATTACATTCCTGGTTAGACGCTTACATAGGGTGCGTTATTGAAGGTGGATATGAGTTTAAGATGAGTGGTTAATTGACGATAGATTTTTATAGTGTCTTAGAGCAAAAACACTAATTTGTCATTGGGCTAGCAAATAGATAATGACAGAAGGTCGACGTTAGGTACAGAAGAAACAAAAGTTAAAATTCTAATGGCGTAGAATCACACAAACTATAAAAGATGAGTGTAGACAGCTAATCTAGCTTTTGATTTGCATATATTTATGGCACGTGTATTATAGAAACGTATGATGTATAATCATAAGCATGATAGTCATATTCATTCATCATGAAACTAAAGTATGGTATAATGCAATCATTATAACCTACTCAAGTTGTTTGGCGACCAACGACCAACATTTGCATTCAAATCTTACCTCATCTGGTTCATCATGGTAATTCATTCAATATCACCCCTTGTGCCTTAATCATCTCTTGTAACGGCTGCCAACTCTGTCGTGTGTTGTATAAATTCATCTTTAAAGTTAAAGTACCTACAATTTTATCATACCCTTTATTAAATTGGCCTAATACTATTTTAGGTCATATTAGTCACGACACATTTATGACCATAGTTTTGACAATACAAACTAACTTACTCTAATACACTTTTGAGACAAATTTGTATGTAATTGCGGATGACAGTTTATATTAGCAATGGCTGGACTTGATTTGTTAACTGATATTAATGGAAGCGTAATCATTTCCAGGGAATCAGGCAAAAAATATAAACATTTGAAAAAGTAAACCAATTTTCTGTAAGTTAACGAAGGTTTTAAGAAACATAGGTCAAGCTGTAGAGGGTTTCTCGCCATACGTGGTGATATTGAACCATTAGCTGCATATAAGGTCATTTGGCCGATGGTGTCGAGTTAATGTCCGGTGTCACTGCTGACGGCTTAATGTTGATGAAATTTTGTTTCTATTATTTGAGGATTAATTTAATGATTTGTGCTTTTACTGTTTGGTTATAAAACTCAAAGGACGAGTTATTGTTTATGTTTAGATCGTTTTATTTGGACGAGGTTTTAAATGACTGAAATAACGAGAAACAGATTGTAAACAAAACACGACCTCTACAGTGCACCGGACAGAACTAACAATAAAATTGGCTTCAGCTGTCCCTTGCAAGATAAATAGAAATACTAAGGGAGTATATTTTATCCATGGTAATAGTCAAAGGTATTAGTCAGCCGATCGTAATACTATAGGTAAAACATGTAATACCATAGACAAAAATAATTAAATATGACCGTCAGCCGTGCTACGATTAGCATAGGTACTGACGTCCATCGCTGGGAGTGCCGTGTAGCTATATCTCGTACGCCGTAACACGGCACTCCCAGCAGTGGACGCCACAACCTATGCTAACCGCAGCACGGCTGACGGTCTATGTTTAATTCTTTTAGTCTATGGTAATAGTTAACTGATTTGAGGAGGAAGATTGAAAGAAATAATGTTTCTAGAAAATCGTCTTGAATTTGGAGTAACCCGCAAGAGTATGTACGCATCTCCTAAAAAAACTGAGAAGGTTTTTAACTTAATGAACCAATTTCTATCATAGTTCGTTAACCAGTTTGGTGAATTTTCTGGTCTCTCGATTCTTATTCGAATTCAGACATCAGGCTATACAAACTTTGCCTTTAAGACCTTGTCTTTAATGTATTGATAAGGTGTTTGACTAAGTGGTTTCTCTAGAAAGTTGGAAAGTAATTTGGCAACAGCTGTATCAAGTGTTCCAAGAATATGTGATATTGTAGTATTTTGTTTTACCTATTTTTATAAAACTGTGTGTCAACTTGACCTGATCAGTGACATTTTCTTCAGTGTCTGTCACTTTTAGGCTTAAACTAACCTGGGTTTTATTTTAACTGACGATGGACGTTGATGAAAGATGTTTACTTGTCTTGAAAAATTCATTATTTCAATGTCGCTTCAAGAATTACGTTGTTGTTAAACAGTGTGGTTGTTGGTGTCGCACAATGATAAAAAAGAATAATACAATCAATGTAATTTTTTTGAAGGGTTATAAAGGGATAGAAAGAAAAACATCAGAAAAATGAAAAGTAAACAGCAAAAATATCATTAGTTAACACGAGAGCTCGCCTCGTGGTCAAAAACTTGACCAAAAGTATGCAAACTTCTCTATTTTAACCCCACGCTGTAAATAAAACATGCGATTAGAATTTGTTCCATAACCTTCTTTTGGTACAACGTGCGGGTAAATCGGCCCAGTAATATGGTCTGGCTAATTGTCATAAGTTTTCCAAATCTTTGGACAAATATAGAGACAATTACATTTGGCACCAACCGTGTGTAATTCGGTCCAGTAGTATGGTCAGGCTAGCTGTCGTAAGCTTTAAAATTTTGTCCCATGTTAAATCTCCATAAGAAAAGTCTCCATAAGTATTTTTATATAATCAATATGTTCCTAGAGGTTGCCCCGTGGTTGAAAACCCAACCAAAAGTATGTAATGTACAGACTTCTCTATTTTCCCCACAAACTGTAAATAAAACATGTGATTGGAATATCTTCCATTTGTTTTGATTTTCTGTTTATATTTTGTTGTTATTTCGTTATCACCATGTCAACCCATAAGACCCATGTTATTTTTTTAAAGATTTCAAATTCATTTTTTGTGCCTATTTGTCAGCCTATAATTCAATTTATAAAGGTATTCTGCACACCTACAGGTAAATATATTTCATTTGGTACCAACCACGTGTAATTGGGTCCAGTGGTATGGTCAGGCTAGCTGTCATAAGTTTTGCAAAAGTTTTTTAGTATATTAAGATTAATTGCAAACTTGTAAAAATACACTCAATTAAATAATGACAGTGCGTTAGCTACAGCCACATAACAATCAGGCTGTTACCTACTACTGTTTTTCTGGTCTTTTAACCAACAAGACACTTAAATAACATCAATGTTGGTCCAAAAGAGTTTTCATTTAATTTAGTCAATCACAATCAACATTTAAACGAAAACAAACTCGTATCAACAAACTCCTAAGCTTTACCAGGCTTAGGATGAATTTTGAAAGAGTCGTAAGTAAAAATATAGATACCATAACAGTATGTAAAGGTAAGGAAAGCCAAAAATCGAAACATAACAATTTACACTTTATATAGCGTATATATATTGCAATACAGTTAAAACCAAAAGCGAAGTTCAAGCACATCCGCCAATACGGTATTGTGACGTCACTGACGTCAGAGCATTTTCTTTCGTTTCGCCCGTTCCCGTCGTCACAAAACGGAGAAATTTATTTTATTGACTCGTTTAGAGAATCCTGCAAAATTGTTTTTCTGTAACTAAATCTGCTCTCTACTCTGGAAACTTTGTGGAATTCGTTGAACTCGATTCGGAAATACAATGTAAGTACAATATCATTAATATCAAGTCATTTGTGTTGTGTGCAGTATAAATTCATTTTAGTTGCCTACTTACTACCGAATAGCCTACCTCGTCATCGGCGACGCCATAACGTTGGCCCCCTTTTGTACTTTTACAGGCTAGTTTAATTTGGAAAACACTTAGAATGTTGCGTAGGCCTAGCCCTATCTTCCACTAGTGGGTTTGATTATCTTAACCTAGCCTATTCGGTTATTAGATGCAGTCCATGAGATGACCAAAGTTAAAGTTAGATCTAGGCTTACTTCTGCTAGGGATTAGCCTTTAGGTCGACTGATTTATTCATAAGGTGAAACAAACCTTCCAAGTTAACATAGGCTACCTTAGAAACTTGTTTGGCTTGAGTTAAGTTAACCCTAGGAGTGACGAGACCGATTTTCAGTATGTGCTTTGTGGCGTGGCACGCTCATTTTGATGAATTTGTAAGGGAGTTCTTCAAAAATCTGTATAAAATTAGTATGTAGAGATAAACTATTGAACCGTATATTCATTTTGTTCGTAATAGTCAGTAGAATTCAAAATGGTAATACAAACCAATTTTAGAAAGGTAGATTTTTAGAAAAAAGTAAAAAAAAGAAAATTTATAAATTTTTCAAATTTTATTTCGAAAGCAAACACGTGTCACATGTAACGTAATTTTTTATTGCACAATTCAAAATATGCATTTTGTTTAGAATTTATTCCTCTACATAGACATATCATAATATACACAAAAGAATTATTTTTATAAATTTACTAGCAATAATACGGAAAAATTGGGAAACGTCAATTTCTTCAACTACACGTTGATAGATCCACAAATGCCCTCTACTAATAAATCAATATGATAAAACCATACATTTTTTGAAGCCAATAATATCATTCTATATAAAATTAACTAAATAAGATAAGTAATAGAATATTTGGTTTTCACAAAAGCAAAAATGTAAACAAAACAACTGATCAGCTGTTATAGCCCACAAAACTTCACTAACTTTTTATCCTATTTTGGATCACACATGTATAAATATTTATGCAAAATAATGCATAAATATTTCGCCTAATACAAAATAAAAACCTAAAACGAACATTACACTGTAAAATTAGGGATAAAACCCACACTTCGTCTTTGTTATCGGACAAAAACTCACGACGACGCCGCCATTTTAGGTTAGACGATGACAAGTGTTCTGTTCCTTTAGCTTTGAAAAATCCAAAGCTTCTATTTGTGTGACCAGCCTAACAACATTGAATTCTACTGCCCTTCGTCTACAAGAGCGTATATAAAACAATGTTTTTGTACTTTTCACATTGTATATATATGCGATTTATGCGATTTAGAAATCGACATT